GTTGAAAATTGTAAATGGATTTTTTAATAGGGTCAAAATGTTATTGAAAGTATTGAATTTATTCCATTTGTTAAAAATTTAAGTATTTAACCAAAATATTATTCTTATTCTACAACTATGGTTCTTTTTAAACTGAACTTTTGTATATATATATATATATATATATATATATATATATATATATATACACACACACACAATGGGAGGTGTTGTTAAAACGTAAAACCGTGAGATCAATTGAATTAGGTGGTCCGAATTTGACTCGGTGAGTTGTGAATAAGAGAAAGAAGAATTCTTAACTTGAATAGCTTGATCAAAGATGATATGCATAGAGAAAATGCGAGCCTAATACCGACGAGATGTGTCCAATGCTTAAGTTAGTATAAGAATGGATGAAAAGAAAAAAAAAAAAGAAAATTGTATAGAAGTATAGTGGGTTGTCGTACCTCAATTGGACTATACTCGTTGTATTTAAGGTTCATGGGAGGGGGAAGAGTATTTCTTTCCCTCCAAGTAATCAAAGTGAGCATTGGACCGATGGGCCATGGTGGTGGCATGTGTGCCACGCTGGGGGCACAAGTAGTGGATCGACGAGTCGTGGTGGTGGCGTGGGTGCCACCCTAGCATGCATAGAGAGCGTCGCATGCGCTGGTGTGGGTCATGTAAAGGTGTGACCTTCCACGTAGGAGTACAGCCATTATGGTCGCCATAGTATGGGCTGCACAATGAGGTGTGGCCCTTCAAGCATCCCTAACCGGTATAAAGCTTATAGCGTGTTTATTGAGAGTAAATAAAAATTATGAAAATTTTCATTTTGTATTTACTAAAGTTAATTAGCTGGGACTCACCTATTAAGAGTCATTCCTCTTAAAACAAATAATCAAATTCTTTGAATTGCAAGCAATGAGCAATCACATTCTTATTTTATTTTGTTGTTATTAAGTAATATCAATAAAAACTGTTAAAATATAATTCACTGTTCTTAAATACAATAAAAAAAATTATTATTATTATTTTATACTAAATACGATTTTTTTAATAAAACGTTAAAATATAATTCATTATTATTAAATATTATAACATTAAAAATTTGTTAGTTTTTTACACTAAATAGGATTGTGTTAATAAAAAAATATATTAATTGCTTTTGAGTTCATGTAATTTTAATTTGATTATTTATTATTTGTAATATTAAATAAATTGTCATAATAAAAATGTTTACTATCAATCAAATAAAAAGTATTCACCATCCATCTAAATATAATAGAGTGACTGTGTATTATATCTTGGGTCCAACTATGAATAAATTTGTCATTTCTGTTGTACAACTAATTAGGGGTGATAATTAGGGGTGGGAATTCAAATGCACTGTCATTTCATCTAAAGTGCTTAACAGTGTGGTTGGCAATAAATTTGTCATTTGTAATTTATTATATATTTTATCTTTTCTATGTGTTTCTATTTTTTTTCTACTATATTTCTCTTTATTAAATTATTTTCTCTTGACTTGAAAAATTAAGTCATGTTTTAAATAAATTAGGAACCGTTAGAAAATTTTCTTTTGTCGACACGACATTGTCCTTTCCTAAGTAATTGAAAGGACTATTCATTTATTAAATGGGAAAAGATCCAAGAGATCTCCCTACTTTTAGAAAATTATTCCCTTTTTGAAAAAATGAATAATCCAATCAAGCGATTTGAAGGAAACAAATGAAATTATACTTTTTTTTTCCTTTGAAGTACATTCAATAATCAAAGAGATCACATGGGGTGTTAATATATAATTACATCGTTAAATCAGGTTCTCGAAACTATCAATATAAAATTATAAATAGTTAATAATCAATATAAACATAATTCAATGAATAATATTTCAAAAGTAGAATTATAGTATTATTTGAATAATAAAAAATAATCAAAATGCAAATTTTATATCGAGTTGTTGAATTCTATAAGCACTATCTTCATTTTTTTTTCATTTTTTTTTTTGGGAGTTCAACCAGTGTTGTACGGTGGATATTAGATCCTCTAAAACTCCTGCGTTGGCAAATTGAATCTAAAATAATTATTTCCATCCTGGATAATATGAAAACTCACAAACCTTCCCCTGAAAGAAAATTTCCAGTGTAAAGTAAACTCCTGTGTATCTTTAAAATTATTTTAAATATATGCCCACATAATTAGTTTTATTTTGTATAATGCAAGCACTATTTCCGTTAAATTTTATAATAACATATATATTTTTTTAATATGCACTCTAAAAAAATGTTTTAAATCATTTATTTATTTTATAGCATGTCTTAAATCATATTTAAAACATATAAAAAAATGGAGTACATATTCCACCGGCATCTCATTTCTCACACATTACAAATTTAATATACATTTTCTTAGAACAACCCTCTTTAATATAAAATATTACTAAATTTTATTGTTATAATATTTAATACTAACCAGGTTTATTTTAATAATTTTATTGATATTAATTAATAATAAAGTCATATCAACTAATAAGAGTGGTGTGTAATTTCTTATTAAAAGAAAGTTTATTAGTATAAATATAAGTGTTTATGGTGAATTATGATCTCACTAGAACCGGTAAGGATTGGGTGTGGTCGAGCTTCTGGAGTGAAAGGACATGCACAAAGAGAGTAAACACTCCCAACACTCAAGTCAGTAAGAGGTCAATCTTAAGATTATTGGGTACCTAAAGTCAGAGTTGACTCAGGGTGTGTTTGATGGTGGAGCCCGCATAACCATTCTATAAGGTCATTGACAAATTAGTTAAGTGGTTACCATAAATCCGACTCTCTATCTCGGTGTTTGATCGAGCTATCATGTCACGGTTGCTCGAACTTCAAGGTCATCCACTTTGTGTTTTCGAGATTTTGGAAGAAAAATTAACAAATTGATCTTTCCTAACTCGCCACATAACAAGTCTTACTTTAACCTTCCGCGCAAAAAAAAATAGTGAAAAAGGTAAAACAGTCCATTAAAAAGTTATGAGTTTCACTCATAAAAAGATAAAAATTGAAAACTAATTATTGAGAATGCGCGAGCTTCATCGGATTGATTAGGTTATATAAAATATAAATGAAATTAGTATATAAGCTAAGTGATTCAAAATTTGAGGTAACGGCATTTTAATAAATACCACAGAAGACAATGAGAATGTGATTCTCTGTTTCTTGATTTTCATTCAAAGGCATATATTATTACCGTTCTCTATTATTCAAATCATCCATCCTTGACACTTTAAATCGTGCACAACAAGGAAATTAATAATATCATTCTCCCCCAATAATTGAACTATAAAAAAACATTAAAATTAAACACACATATACACCTAGAAAGCTAGAACTACAACTACAACTAATATTTAATATTTTTAAATAAAATAATTAGAAAATTTGTAAGCCACAATCAACAGTGCACATCTTGGTATCCACGTGCATGGGCCACGCTCGGACTTTATAAATTAGGTAGTGGCCATTTGGCTCCTAACCCATGACTGCTTAGTCGTGAGGCATTTCCCCACCTTATTATATGAGAAAAAAAAAGTTTAATGTTCTTTTTTTCACCTTATTATATGAAAAAAAAAAGGTTTGGTTGGTTAGTGAAATGTCACGATCATTTTTATGTTTCTTATACGTAAATCAATGAGAACAATGACTCTTCTTCCTGGCTTTGGTAATTACCCAAAATCACTTGATGGTTGATGCATCATCCCATGGAAAAGTGCAACGTATGTGGCGGAGTTGGGTCATGGGTGTCGGCTCTTGCTATAAAAAAAAATTGAATTCCGCTTCAAACACTCACACACATAATTACAAAAAAAAAAACCTGTATTTTTTTATTTGATTAATTTTGGTTTACATATTTTTAAATCCGTGTTCTTTCAATAACCTTTTTAATCTTCTACTTTTAAAATGTTTAGTTTGGTTTAGTCGCTTTATTTTTAATTTCATGTCATTTATTTCAATCATAATAAATGCACGAGATACCACTCATATTAAAGAGGTTCCATTGTATTAAAATTTTGCAAATATAGACTATTAGTCACTTTTAAAGGACAAAGATTAAATATATATTTTTAAAGCACAAATACTAAAATAACAAAAGTTGAAAGTACATGAATATTTTTGAACCGCATGAATAAAAATGAAATAAAACCAAAAAGTACCACTAAAGCATAGTTCAACGATAATTGACATATACCTATTGTACCATAATCAAAATAGTATATAGTATATGTTCTACGAGAAATTCAACAAGAGAAGATTCACCTAAACTATACTCGCTTGGGCTAATTTAGTTAAAAAAATATTTATTGTTAAGTAAAATATCTTATCTGGCTGGTGACGTGGTAACAAGGAGGGCAATAAGGTCTGTGGAAAAAAATATTTCCACAAAAGACGACAAGATATGAGTACGTGGAGACAGGTCAGCACTTTCATTATTGCACATGGATAACGATTTACGATCGGGAAAATTCCAGTATTACGATACTTCATACTACCTCATTCATGGTAACTACCAAACAACATTTCAAAATGGTATTAATCCATTATATAAATATAATATATTACTTAATTATGTACTAAAATTTAAATAGAGTAAGTACTACAGTAATGCTATAATTTTTTTGACATTAAACGAGGAAATTTTTCCTACCCGACTTTTACTCTTATAGTATACATTTATTCCGCTAAGCCAATCACATAGTAACACGTTTGAGTGGGCGCGGTAAATTCAGAATCCCATGTTCTTGGCCTATACCACGTGTCGAGATTCGTGTATTGTTTGACGGAAATATCCGTGAACGCCCTGTGACTTTAGCAGATCGTGTTCTAATTGATCCAGATATTCTGTTGGAGCGACATTATCAACGTGGATCCCTCATCCGCCGTTGGAGGCGATTTACCGGGGGTGGATATTTCTGCGCCGTTGGATATTTGTGAGAGAGAGAGAGAGAGAGAGAGAGAAGAAGCGAGGGCTCATTGGAAGACGAAAAGCCAAACTAGCAGGACGTCGCTAGCCATGGCGTTAAATCGATGGTTGTTCAATCCGCCATCTCTCACTATAAATACCTCCCGTTTCTTCCATCCATCTGCATTCCCGTGGTTGATTTCTTCCGATTACAGTCTTATAAGAACACCGAAGAAATATTCTGCTTCTGGTAAAATAATTTTCCGTTATTTCATTTTCTCAGTTTTCGTTCTTGTTTGGTTCCCGGGAAAATCGTTTTCCTGTAGACTGATTACGCTTTTCTATCGGTTTTTTTTCCTTTACATATCTAAGAATTTGCACATCTTCGCCGAGCCGGCGATTGTCGGCGACAGCTTTCAAGGTAAACTAATTAAACGAGCTCTGAATTAACTTAAGAGGCGGATAAATAAATTTATGGCTACTTTTAGTTTTTCTGTGTGGTAATCTGATGGATGGGAAATCTGAATTGTAGAAACGCGAGACAAATAATCAACCAAGAAACTCGAACGAAAAAGAACTAGGAAGAAAGTTAAAAGCTAAAGAAATGACGATCAAACCGGCGGTAAGGATCTCCGACCGGAAGCTCATCGTGAAAGACCGGACGATCCTGACCGGAGTGCCGGAAAATGTAATTGCGACGTCCGGCTCATCGTCCGGACCGGTGGAAGGAGTGTTCCTTGGGGCGGTTTTCGAGGAAGAGCAGAGCCGGCAGGTGGTTCCGTTGGGAACCTTGCGGGACGTCCGGTTCATGGCGTGCTTTCGGTTCAAGTTATGGTGGATGTCTCAGAAAATGGGCGACAAAGGGAAGGAGATTCCATTGGAGACTCAATTTCTGTTGCTGGAGACGAAGGATGGGTCCCACCTGGAATCGGACGATGGAAACGAGGAGAATCAGATCATATACACAGTGTTTCTCCCTCTGATCGAAGGTTCGTTCCGAGCCTGTCTCCAAGGCAACGGACAAGACGAACTCGAACTTTGTCTAGAAAGTGGTGATGCCGACACCAAAGCGTCGTCGTTTACGCACGCGCTGTTCATCCACGCCGGAACCGATCCCTTCGACGCGATTGCCGATGCGATCAGAACTGTTAAGCTCCATCTCCAGACCTTCCGGTTGCGGCACGAGAAGAAATTGCCTGAAATCGTCGATTACTTCGGCTGGTGTACGTGGGACGCCTTCTACCAGGAGGTCACTCAAGAGGGCGTCGAGGCCGGATTGGAGTCTCTCTCCGCCGGCGGAGCGCCGCCGAAGTTCGTGATCATCGACGACGGATGGCAATCGGTCGATGGTGATCCTCAAGAGGAGAACGAGGTAGAAGGCGAGAAACAGCCGAAGCAGCCGCCATTGCTGAGGCTAACAGCGATCAGAGAGAACTCGAAATTCCAGAACAAGGAGGATCAAACGGAAGGGATCAAGAGGATTGTGAACATCGCCAAGAACAAATACGGACTGAAGTATGTGTACGTATGGCACGCGATTACTGGATATTGGGGAGGGCTTCGAACAGGCGTGAAGGATATGGAGGAATACGGATCATCGATGCAGTATCCGATGTTATCAAAAGGCGTTGTGGAGAATGAGCCGATATGGAAGGACGATGCGTTGGCGTTGCAAGGATTGGGGCTTGTGAATCCTAAGAACGTTTACAAATTTTACAACGAACTTCACAGCTACCTCGCCTCCGCCGGAATCGATGGCGTGAAAGTGGACGCACAGTGTATATTGGAGACTCTCGGCGCCGGGTTCGGTGGCCGAGTCGAGTTGACTCGGCAGTACCACCAGGCTCTGGACGCGTCGGTGGCTAGAAATTTTGCGGACAACGGGATTATTGCTTGTATGAGCCACAATACAGATGCACTATACTGGTAATTAGTAACAGAAATTCCCAATTTCTTTGTGTAATATTCTTCCGATCTGTATGTAATTAGGGCAGAATGAACTGAAATTACCGGTGGTGTTTTTCAGTGCGAAACAGACGGCGGTGGTGAGAGCTTCCGATGACTTCTACCCGCGAGCTCCGGTGTCGCATACCATTCACATTGCAGCAGTGGCGTACAATAGCGTATTTCTGGGAGAGATTATGCAGCCAGATTGGGACATGTTCCATTCCCTTCATTCCGCCGCCGATTACCACGCTTCCGCAAGGGCCATCAGCGGTGGCCCCGTTTATGTCAGGTAACAATCAACAAACGTTGTTTAGATTGCAAGTTTGTTCTACAGTTCTCTCTCTTTAGTCGAATATGCTCGAACCTTTTGACATTCTCAGTAAGTTAATGGGGACTTTGTTTTTCCGATCAGTGATGCTCCGGGGAAGCACGACTTCGAGCTTCTGAAGAAGCTAGTGCTACCCGACGGCTCGGTGCTCAGAGCACGCTTGCCCGGACGGCCAACGCGGGACTGTTTATTCTCAGATCCAGCTCGAGATGGAGTTAGGTGAGTGTTTTTGTTTTGGATTTGAATACCTTGTTTTGGGTCTTTTTTCTTCGCTTTTTGGCACGTTTTCAGACCACAAATTTGACTTTGAAATTTGAATCATACTCAGCTTGCTGAAGATATGGAATCTGAACAAATTCACCGGCGTCATTGGCATCTACAATTGCCAAGGCGCGGCCTGGAACAGCCAAGAGAGAAAGAACACCTTCCACGATACCAGTTCCGACGCCATTACCGGCTACGTCAAAGGGCGCGACGTCCACGCCATTTCCCAAGTCGCGGCGGATCCCGACTGGAACGGCGACTGCGCCTTCTACCGCTTCCGCTCCGGCGATCTCGTCACTCTTCCTTACAACTCCGCACTCCCAGTTTCTCTTAAAGTCCTCGAGTACGACGTCTTCACCATAACTCCGATCAAAGTTTTGGCCCCTGGCTTCAGTTTCGCTCCGCTGGGACTCATCGAAATGTACAACTCCGGCGGTTCAATCGAGGGGTTGAAATACGAAGTGAAAGGCGGGGCGAAGCTCGCTGAAGTTGAGGGCGGATCGGAAGGGAATGAGGTTGCCGGCGGGCTGCCGGAGAACCGCAGCTCGGAGTTGGTCGGAATTGTTCACTTGGAGGTGAAAGGGTGTGGGAAGTTTGGAGCGTACTCGTCGGCGAGGCCACGGCGGTGCACGGTGGACTCGAGCGCCGTTGAATTTGCGTATGATTCTGAGTCAGGATTGGTAACTTTCGGAATAGACAAATTGCCGGAAGGCGACCTTAAAGTTCACGACGTTAAAATTGAGTTATGAATTTTATCATCGTGTTGGTTTGTGAGGAATGGCATAATTAGCAGTCGATTATAGGTTCCTTTCGAAGAAAAAGAAGGACGAATTCTGTTGTTTTCCCTTTCTTTTGGGCTGGAGAATCACTTGTAATATTACGAACCGAGTGGAATCTTAAATAACTTCCTTAGATTACCCATAACTCTGTTGCCCCCCCTCCCCTCCCCTCCACCCGTTAGAAGTGATTGATATGAAATAGTAGTTTTTTCTATTTACTATTTAGACGCATCTAAATCAGTAGAAATAGACTAATAAAAAGGGAGTCCTACTAAAGGGAATCGTAGCTTGAAATAATTCCAACACAATCGAGATTATTATCATTTGATTCTGTTAGTACTCTTACAAAAAAGGTAGGCTAGTTCCTACTCCTCCCGTCATCATACATCTTTTTGACAAAACGTTCTTAGCCGCTCAAGAGTCAACGAACCTATAAAAAGTAGAGTATCTCTCTTTATGTTCAATTTTGGTTCTTGTTCGGCGTTGAGATGCCAATCAGTAAGCTGTTGGAAACAATCCAAAACCAAAATGGGTTGTCCCTCCGACCCTCAGCCGCATTTTTTGATCAAGTTAATATTATGGGTTGCTGTTGCTGGCTATTTCAAGTCACACGACATGACTTTGCTAATGCGTTACTTAAACATTTTTTCTTTGTTTTTTTTCTTTAAAAAAAGGAGAAAAAAAAACTGCTCTCTATATAAGTATAAACCTCAGCCATATTTTGATGTAGGAAACTAAGCTAGTAGTGTTTAAACAAGCAGGGCGTCACTATTTTCTTTGATTCCTGAGAAACTCGCTTTTCTCTCGACTGATGACGGTTTTCAGTCGTTTATTTGTTCATGTCCTGTAATCTATAAACAGTGGTAAATCTGAAATTGTGGAAAAGCAAGTCAATTAACGCCCATTCTGATGGACAATTCCATCAAAGGGCAAAAGAAAAATGTTCTAAGCATGTGATATATATATATAAATATATATAGAGATAGCATTAGCTCAAGAATTTACTGCACTTTTTTGAACAAGGTGTACCCAACCGCTTCCTAGAAAGTAGTACATATGATCACAGTTAAAAATCTATTCTAGAATCTAGATTTTAAGGATGAATTACAATTGTCTTAAATGGTACAAATGTTAACCCCTAGTGGCAAAGTAGAACCTACAGAAAGATGTCACATATCAACCTATCAACAAAGCTAAACAGAGATTAGTATTCCATTCTTACCATAGCATTAGAGACTTCGGATAATCCATACTGCATCCAATCCTTGGAACATATCATGGCTTCCACTGTCTCAGGACGCAAGGAGCTGCGGTACTTATCCATTTTCTTCCTCTTGGTGATAAATACAGAGTCTGGAGGAAGCGTAGAAACTGGAATAGACAAGATATCACGAGCCATCTTTGAAAGAGTAGGGTACTTGAACTTGTTCAATTTCCACCATCCCAATAGATCGAAGTCTTGCACACGGGGCAACAAAGAATCTTCCAAATACCGATCGAGCTCTGACTTCATCTGTTGGCTGGTGGTCTCCATAATGTAGACATCAAAATCTGTAAATCCGTTGTCTGACAGAAGATTTCCCTGGGAATCTTCTGCCCTCATGTTACCACCATCGGCATTACCATCTTCAGCATAAGTTGGTGTTAGAGGTAGAGGCAACGCCACATATTCATCAAAGAGCTCGTGAATCCCATCGTCAACTATCTTGATGTAAACAGGAGCTTCTTCACCATAGACTTTGGTGAAACTAAACTCAACGAGCTTCATTTTGAAGCGAGGATCCATCACAACGGCAGCTGCCAACACTATGCTGCAATCTTTCCAATATTTATCGAACTTTTCTAGCATCAATTTGCTAAGGTTGCTTACAAATGGATCCTCACTTGTAGCTGCCCGAGACAATTCTGAATGAATTCTCCACACTTCATGAAAGACGGTAATGGCAGATGGGTGAGTTGTGGTGGTAAGGATATTTGCAGCATCAAAAAGAAGCTTTAAGTTTGTGCAGAGAATTTCAACCAACTTCCAATCTTCCACTGATGGAGCTATCCTATAATCAGGATCAGAAGTATCCAAACAGGAAAATACTTCCTTCATCTCAGAGGCAGCCACCAACATGTGGTAAGTGGTATTCCATTGCTTTTGGTCATCAAGAAAGAGATTTCTCTCACTTGGCACTTGAAGTTGTTGCTTGAGCTCTAAAAACTTTTCCTCATGAGAATATGAAGTTGTCACATATTTCACACTGTCCCGAAGTTTTGTTATCGTACTTTCTCCAGCATCTAATACAACTTTTGCGATGTCACTTAACGTCCAAGCAATACAACTTCCAACCAAAAATTGACCATTGAGGATAAGGGGATTCTTGATGGCAAGTAGAGGCCTAAGATTATCAAGGGCAGCATCACTCAATACTTGGTTCAACGTAAGAGAAAATAACTTCCCTTCCAGTCTCCAATCAGAGAGACATACAGCAACAGCATGGCTAAGTGCATTGGGTGAGTCTGGATATGATTCCATTACAACATTCAAGACCCGTCTATGCAACTTCCAATCACTGTCAATAAAACTTCCCATAATAAACACATAACCTACCGATAGACTAGAACTCCACATGTCAAGGGTAAGACATATACGCCCTGGAATCGCTTCAATAAACTTGTTTAAATTTTGCTTCTCCATTAAATAAGTTCCAACACAATCCCCTTGAACAGTGTTGAAGCTCACCATGTTAAACCGAGGCTGAAGGTTCTTGGTAAAGGATACAAATCCATGATGCTCAACCATGTGCAGTGGGTAGTCATGCATGATGATCATTCGAGCAATCTCTTGCCGGCCACGGTCCTGATCAACCATAACATATGGTGAGCTAGAGGTTCTATATCGTCTTTTTGGTGGATCACTCACATTCCCTCTTGAAGGTGGGGTATATGTGGCCACCAACTGATTCTTGTCCTGACCACGTAAAAGTGCAGTGCAGGTTCCTTTAGCAATGTGCCGCTTCAGATGGCTGGTGCCAGCAACTTTTGATCCCGTACTATATGCAAAACTTTGCTTGCATTGCTTGCAATATGCCCTTCTGCAGTCAGCACTCACAGATTCGATAGTAAAATGTTCCCAGACGATGGACTTCTTTTTCCTCCTCCTGTTAGGCTGTACTTCTACAAGAGCTAGTTCATTATGTCCATCATCTGGTGATCCCAACTTATCCGTATCGGGAGTTCCCATTATTTCATCCTCATGAGTTACCATGTTTTCACCATTTGGAGTTGTCATATCATGGTCTTCATCATGAGTCACCACCATAATCTCTTTCCCCGGCGTTGCCATGTTTTCTTCATCAGGAGTTGCCATTTCGTCTGGGAAGATTATTTCCTGTTTCAACATATTATCAGCAAAATAATAAAATTAAACAACGATCTATGGTGTTCACAGTTTAAAAACTTCATATAAATCAGAATCATGGCAAATTGATCAGTTAGAATGAAGCATATATCTTTATCATGATTAAGATCAGTAGGTGGCAACCCAGAAATGAAGCTAACGAAGTACGCTTCGTTCTTAAATGAATTAAATTTGCTGCTAAGAACAATGTAAGCTTAACACGGCCAAGGAAGCAAGCATCAAAGACTAATCCACAGAATTGAATTCCACTCGAAACCACAGCGAGAGAATGATACATTATTTCCAGACACAGCAGATCAGAGCGATCGAAAAAAATAAATAAAGAAGAAGAAACGAGACGCTAATTCAGCTCATAAACTAAATAAATGCTAATCAATAAGATCACGATCTTTTTTTTTAAAAAAAAGAACCCATTTGTCAAATTGGGAAATTGGTAATATTTTCCAACTCCCAACGTCATTGGAAGAAGAATAAGAGCAGCGTAGGCAGAAACAAAATGGTAGTATTGTAATGCGGACTCGAACCCACGAAAAGAAGTAAAGACAAATACCATTTTTCCGAACCCAGGAAGAAAAGGGAACCGAAAGAGATCTGTTTCCATCCTCATTTTGTTTGTAAAATCAGATTTGTGAAAACCCCCCAAAGCCCAAACGGCGGGTCAGTTTTTGACGTAGCCTTGAGACTTGAGAGAGGCGTTAGGTTTGAGACCGACCCCCTTAAAAGAGGGGGAAAGAAACCCCAAACCAGAATAATGGGCCTGGTCYGGGCCCACTAAAGACCCATCTTCGGCCCACCTAGAAGAAGGCATCTTTCACAATTTAAACTCCGGAAATTCCAACCGAATGATCGAGTCCACATGGATGATGAATCGCGAGGCTAAAATGGGTAATACTGAAAAAATAATATCTAAGATGGGCTAGGAATAGTAGTCGAACGAGAACTAGAACAGTTCTTTTTTTCTTTTTCTTTTTTCAGATCTAGGGTTTGATGAAGATTTGGGCATTTCAAGCCCAGCTACCCAGTTTAATGAAAAACCCACGAAACACAAAATTTTGAACAGAAAATCATCGAAACCGAGCTCAATTCTGGAACTCGGACTTCGCAGGACCAACGAATAAGAAGAGAAGAAGACCGCGAAGTCCTCCCCCCACATTTCCCATCCCCAAATCAACCAAACACAATTCCGAAATCGAAAAGAACTCCGGAAAACCAGATTCTAACAAACTGAAAGTCAAGAAAGTGAAGGAAAAGAGGGAAAAAGCTTTGGTGAATTTCAAAATCACCGAAAAGGAGCTCGAATTTTACCCGAAAAGAGATCCTGGAAGACCAAGAGATCCACGACCTGAAAAGAGAAACGAGCTGGCCTGAGTCCCGGTCCGGCGACCAATGGAGCCTGAAAGTTTTTGCAGAGAGAGAATCGGAGAATCGGAGATTGGGCTTGAAACCAACCCGAGAAGCTAATTGGACCTTACTTTAGCAGAAGGGTAAACTTTGGGACTCCGGACTCGGTTTGGTAGATAAGGATTCGGGGGAAGACTCTCCTTTTTCTTTTTTTAAAAAAATTTTGGGCATTTCTTTTGGGCACTGGACTTCGCCGCAGGCAGGTCCATTGGCCTTATTTTTTATTTTTCAATTATTAAAAAAAAAACATAAAATATTTTTTTTCCGTATATAATCAATAATGCTCTCTCTCTCTCTGTTTTTATTTTTACTGGACCGAAAAGCCCACAACACTCTTATCTCTCAAAGTCCGTATACATAATAGTAGTTGTAGCCCACCAAATGTTATGGACTACCTATAAAGTGGGCCCCAATGGGCTGGGCCCATATCGCTCACCGACCCAAAGGTTCGTCTTGGTTAGATAAGACCAAACCCGTCAGATCCAAAAAGATTAACCAATCCAACGGTTTGAATCCACCCAACAATTCCATCAACAAATCGCTCCCAAAATTACTTATAGTAAACATTGTTTCAACTTCTCCATTATTAATAGAAACGATTAACAATTATGTTTAAAAAAATCACTAAAATCCACTACTAATTAATTAGGTGCATCGAGAGCGACGTTGCATTAAAAAAATATATTTACTTAACTAGTTGATGAACTAAGTTCAAATTGAGTTATTTTTCTCGCATTTATCGTCTCTTTCGCGTCGTACACGTAAAACAATAGTTGAATCAATTAAATGGTTTGTATGCAGCGAATCTAAACATAAGTTTGGGAAGGCTTTCATGAGTGTACTGATCTGATGTTCTTGGCAACCTCATTTTTCAGAGAGATCTTTGAAAAGAACAAAGAGAAAAGCCAACAAAGAATGGATTTTGTATCAATGGGGAAGAGAGTGATGAATTGGGAAAGAAAAGGGTTTTTTTTTTCGTTGAATAAAAAAAAACTTGAACAGTTGTCGGGCATGTGTGCTTGGTAGACAGTGTCAGTGAAATATATATATATATATTATAATTTGAGACAAACCAAATACATGCATTTCCATGCAACTGTCTCCACCCTTTTACACGTGCGCACCCATAACCCTCCCCTCCCCTCCCCTTTGTCCCTCTCTTTTTCTTACTCTTAAAAGTTTAAACTATACATCCTTAGTAAAAAATTTGTAGAAATCACATTATCGTCAATTTGAGAATGGTTTAGTGGATAACTTATTTTATTATTTTTTGAGATTGAAGGTTCGATCTCTCACCCTCATAATTATTGAACTCAACTCAAAGTTTCACATTTTATAAATATTATTACAATTCAAATAAGATAGAGAAGATTCAAATTTTTCGTATTTTAGGAAGAGTTACTAATGTTCTCGTCGAGAATAGTTTGATGGATAACTTATTTTATTAATTATTTTGTGTTGAGATTGAAGTTTCAACCTCCCACTCTCATATTTATTGAACTCACTCAAAGTTTCACATTTTATAAATATTATTAAATAAGATAGTCAAGATTCAAATTTTTCGTATTTTAAGAAAAGTTACTAAATGTTTAAATTGATTAAAAGGTATTTTAGAGTTTTCCTATGTTTGAATTGTGTTAAGAAAATAAATTTTAAAATTGTATATTTGTATAGTATATTTAATTTATAAGTTTATACTATTTTCTCTCTTGTTAATCGATATAGGGTTATTTTCTTATAGTTTAGAAGTTGAACATATATATTAACTAGTCTCACATAGATTTGTTTGTACGATTTTAGGGTCAATATAACAACACATACAATTTTAACAAAATGTACATTTCATTATTATTTTTTTGAGACAGAATGTACATTTCATTAATAATTATATATATCACTGTTGAAAAAATGTGTATTTCATTTGTAAGAATAGTTATATTATATGATCCAAATTGCTGCTCGAAATAAAGGTTTTATATATTTCAAAAAGTTTCAATTTTCCCAACTACCAAACAGTCTTATGCTTTTTCAAAAAACAAAAAGGAAAAAAAAAACAGTGTTTTGCTAAAATTGAAACATCAGATTAATTAATTTTGTGATGGGAAAAGTCAATGTAGGATATTTTAATAAGTGTACGGAGCACTAAATTGAAATCAAGAAATCAAGGAAAAAAAAACTTTATTACTTTTTATTCCATGAGATTTGCTTATGATTTGTTTTCAGGAAAAAATAAAGATTTGCTTTATGATTTCATACATAATTGTAACACTTTTTTTGTCAAGTATGAAACATTAATTATTAAATTGCTTATTTCCAAAGTATCATTAATATTTTAAATTATTTTTTTGATCTGTTATTTGAAGTTCATAAAATTTATATTGAAGTATATTTAAATATTAAAAAGTATTTCAAATTATTGAAAAATCTATTCCAAACAACATGCCCATTAACATTATTTAACATAAAAATATAAAAATATAAACGCAATTAAGCTATCTTATTGTTTCTTTAGAAGTCCGAGATTCAATCTCTCTATTCCTAAATTACTCAGAAGAAAAATTAACATCATTAAACATAATTTACTTGTTCGAAAAATAAAAATCAATATGACTATTCTGAAATGTATTATAAAATATTAAGTTATTTTTATTAACTATATTGTTCTCATTAGTCAAATGAGCTTAGCTATTGGCACGTTTCCAACTATGAGGTTGTGAGTTTGAATTTCCTAACCTCACTTGTTATACGGAAAAAAAAAAACTTTTTAACTCTCGTTAGATACTTATTTTTAGTACAATAATTCAGACCTCATCATAAATACATGTTTTAACTAGTTGAGTTATGCTCATCGTTATCTCTAGGTCTTAAATTTTTCTATTTTAACTTAATTTACAAGAATACATATATTTGGCACCTAATGAATCGCTGAATTGATCTTTAAGTCTATTTCAAAATAATAATAATAATAATAATCTTTTAAGTCTTAAACTATGTTATGTTTCAGAGTTATTCCATATATACAAGTTATTTTCAAGAAGTAATTTATATTTTTTGGATTAAATTAACAGTTTGGTCTATATGTTTTGGTCTTATATTGATAATTTGGTCCGTATGATTTTAAAATTTTCAATTTGATCATTGTAATTCTGACTTAATTTCAATTCATTTTCTATAGTTTACAAATTTTCTATTTAGTTGTCCTAAGATTTGATTAAACCTCATCCATCATTTCTACAATTACAAGTTGTCACCAATATATAATGTGGCGTTTTTTCTTTTTCTTTTAACAAACATGGTACATTTTCTGTTTATGTGTGACAATGAGTTGATGCTTTATATTAGGCTTGTTATATATGTTAGCTGACCGAAAAGCTGTTTTAAATGTCGATGATAATGGGAACGATGATGAAAATATCGATAAAATATAAAAATTGATGGATATTTCTTGAAATTTATTATTAAAAGCATGTAACAAACATTTAAATTAATAAATAAGTAGCATTTCACAGTTTAATAAGTTAAAAATTATTAATATTAACGTCATGCTCGTATAGATTAGTGATATTATGTTATATATATACACACACATACATACATACTATGAAAATTATAAATTATGTCGATTTTTAACCTATAAACATATGACAATGTCAATAAAAATTTAACATCGAAATTTAATACCTTGTAGCTAATTACATGACTATATTAGGTTTAGGATTGAATGAAAAAGAAGAGAACACAAGTGATTGTTTTTTGCGCAAAAGAATGTTTATAAATTGTTTGTAAGGCTAATCAAAACTATGGGAACCAAATTAAAACTTCTCAACATTATTAAATCACCAACCAGAAGTTTTAGCAGATGGATTAGGGTAAATTTCATCATATATAGAAATCTCATGCTCATGCTCCCATCTGATTTAATCACTAATGAACCCAAAAATTTAAGTTAATAGATTAGGGTAAATTTAATCATATATAGCTATCTCAACAAAAAAATTTTAAGTCAAGGTGAGCATAGATTAGCAATTAAGACATCTATTCCTTTTCTTGAGGTCGGTAGATTAAATCTTCACGTCTCATGTACTAAAAAATAAAAATAAAAATTCAAAAATTGAAATATAATAAATAGTAAAATCAACATTATGAAATACACCCATATTCTTTAAACTTGAAGAACAGATAGCGAAGTAAAAAAAGTATGGTATATACAAAATCCTTAAGAAATTAATTAAGGAGGTGTTGAGATTTTGCATTAGTGCTTTAAACCAGTACATCACATGCATTATTAAGGATAATGTGCCCCAAAATTATTCAATCATTTCAGGCACGTGAATAAAGCGAAGAAGATAAAAGGAAAAAGTATTTAAGATAATGGACAAATATTAAATAGATCCCAAATCACATGATATTATAGAAATGGAAAAGGGGTAATATTAATTAGCTTAAATTGAAAGGAGAGGAAGGAAAAAACAAAAAATTAATAAGGTGGGATGGAAGGCTTATTAGCTGTACATCTCCATCACCCAACCACTCCAAAGAAATGAATTTTTTTTTCCTTGTGGGTTTTATGCACTAATGGGGTCCATATTTATTAAAATAAAAAAAAAAGAAAAGAAAAGAAAAGAAAAGGAAAGGACTTGAATAATGGTGGTGACATCAAATCAAACAAAACATTTATAAAGGCATTGGATTAGCTAAGTCACGATTAGAGTGGATTAAGTTAGTGCGGCCAGCTAATTTAAACACAATAATAATTAATCCCACCACTAACCCTCTCTCTTTTAAATAATTGAGAAGTTGCTCTTCATCTCTTTCTCTTTTTTGTTCAACAAAAGTTTTGTTTTTGAGGATTTTGAAAAGAGTAATTAGAAAGGGAATATTTAA